TTCAACTAAATTCTACAAAATTAACTTGTAATATAAAGATTATCCATGATTGGATTAGGCCTAAACCCACATTTCATCTTTTTATTGTATTTATTTTTTGTCCATTTCTCCATACTCTTTTTTATTTATTTTCCTTACTTTTAGATTTTTTTTTGAAACATACTCTTGGTTAATACTATAAGGGTTGAGTAAAATTCAAATCTCATATATTCATTAGAAACGTAAGTGAAATAAAGTATATAAACAAAAACAATCTTAGTTTTAGAAATCAATTTTACAATGTTAAGTTAACTCTAAACTCATATTTAAATTGTGGGAATTGCGTTCGGTGCAAGACACCCTAAGTAAAAAAATGACAATTATATATATATATATATATATATATATATATATATATAACATAAATATGTTTTTAGTCCTTCAAATTTAGGATAAATTTGTTTTTGGTTCTTTAAATTTAAAGTTGATATTTTTAGTACCTGTAATTTAAAAAAAAAATATTTTAGTCCTTATATTCAAATTTTGTTAAGAAATTTATCAAATATTATTGCATAAAATCTACTTATTGGTGTCTTTGTTAATAAAAATATCACATTAAATTCAATTGATATTGCATAACCGTCTTAATTTGTTACTTTTAGATATGTCATTGGTGATTTGAGATACTAAAATAAGATTTTTAAAAATTACATAGACTAAAAACAATGATTTTAAATTTGAGGGACCAAAAATAAATTTATCTTAAATTTGAGGGACTAAACATATTTAAACCTATATATATGTGTGTGTGTGTGAGAGAGAGAGAGAGAGAACATATCCAATAAAAATGTCTTATCATGAGAGATGAGAGAGTTAAATAATATTTTTTTAGATTATAACAAAAAATTAATGGTTGAAATTAAAACTAGGCTTAAATATGTTTTTAGTCCCTCAAATTTAGGGTAAATTTATTTTTGGTCCCTCAAATTTAAAATTGTTGTTTTTAGTCCCTGTAATTTAAAAAAATCTTATTTTAGTCCTTATATTCAAATTTTGTTAAGAAATTTGTCAAAAATTATTGCATAAAATTTACCTATTGGTGTCCTTATTAGTGAAAATATCACATTAAATCCGGTTGATATTGCATAACTGTCTTAATTAGTCGCTTTCAAATATGTTATTGGTGACCTAAGGGACTAAAACAATATTTTTGAAAATTATGGGGACTAAAAATAACAATTTTAAATTTGAGGGACTAAAAACAAATTTATCATAAATTTGATAGACTAAAATTATATTTAAGCCTTAAAACTAAATAAAATCATTATCATTATCATCTTCACAACTATCATTATCGTCACTATTCATTGTTGTTACTACTATGACCAGAATCATCATTGTTATTATTGTTGTTATCATTATTGTTGTCATCAGTAGATACAATAGGTAGCAACTGACATTGATAATGATAACAACAATAACAACGATAATAACAACAATAATAATAATAACGATTATAATATTAGTGTTCACAATGATTATCACAATCATTAATATTATAGAAAATTGTAGATAAATATGATTGATATGATGTTCTAAAAACCTTTATATTGGAACAAACTCATCGTAACACTCACAAACCAATTTGAAAAACTTTAATCATTAGCAATTAAATAGCCTCGGACACAAATATAGTATGTTTTACTACAAATGCTTTATAAGATAACATTATCAAAATGTTTATGAGCCAACAATGTCATCAGTCCCTTCTATTAGAAATAGTTGGGTTGGATTTACGAGATTTTTTCTTTTCACAATTGAAATATATTATTGTATATTGATTTCACTTTTTTACAAGAGTGATCACATACCTTGCAACTTCAAGAAAGTATGATAATTCTTTAATGGTGACCAATTTATATGATAGTAGTATACTTATGAGAATTCTAACGCTTAAGTTAATATGAACCAAAGTTAAGAAATAAAGGATAAAGTGCACATATATTGATACGAAAAAATTTGAAATTTTAATAACTTCAGTCATGATGTAAGAAAAATAACTTCAACCATTAGGCCTTGTTGATCTTTAAATATTTCATAACACCTTTAAAATGATACATTGTTAGGATCCAAATATTCCAAATACATAAATTTCCTAATGTTAGTAATTGGACTATCTAAAATTTTCATTATTGATTTATTTATTTTTCATCAATCTTTAATAAAAAAATTTACCCTACATTTCCTATTAACCAGTCACAAAGAGAAGCAATGTAAATATTTGAAAGAAGGTCTAATATGAACCCATATTTGTTGGCTTGAGCCTTATAAAGCTAGAAAGTATTTTACCTCACATTTTTTATTGACCAATCGTAAAGAGAAACATTTTGAACATTTGAAAGAAGGTCCAATATGAACCCATATTTGTTGGGTTAAGCCTAATAAATCTGGAAAGTAAGTGTGCAAGCAATTCAAGTTAAATTTGACCCAATTTAATGAAATATAATAAGTAGTTAGGTTGAGTTGAGATTTTTTTTTAAGCAACCTAACTTGACCAAATTTTAACCTTGAATTGGATAATCAAAATTTTATTAAAGTATTAATATATTTCAAGATTTTTTTTAAAACCAACTTATATGATTAATACATATCTGACTCAAATATGTAATTAATATTTTATAATCAATATTAATTTTAAATCGGGTTAAGTTGGTTGAATTAATCGAATTAAAAATTTATTTATCTGTTATCTAATTTAATTATAATTGGATCGATTAGAATATATTTAAATGAAAATTAATTCAATAAAATAAATTGATTGAATTTTAGGATTTGTCCTACTTACACCTTACTAAAAAGAAATGTAAAGAATAAATTCAAGTATTTTTTTAAAATATATTTTTTTTTTATTAATTTTTTTTTACAACAATAAAAATTAAGTTTAAATCTATAAGAGTATTTCCAGTGGGATTGCTTATAAGCAACCTCCAGTGTCATATCATGTCACATTAGATTTATGGGATACTTAAATTTTAGCAAAATTACTTATAAGCAACCTCCACTAGAAATACTCTAAATTCATCTAACAATCCTTTTACTCTTGGGCCAACTCCCGTGGATTCAAACATTGTGTGCTAGCACTAATATATCCGGAAGGGTCCATGGAAGTCGAAATTCTTAAACTTCATTATATATACACCTCCTTTTTTTTTATAAAATATATAAGTACATCTTTTTTTTTTTAAATAAATTTTAAAATATTCTTGAAATTGACAAGTCGTATTTGTATTTAAAAATAGTATTTTACAAATACGACTTGTATTTTTTTTTAAATGAAAGTTGTGATTCAAGATCACGAATTTTATTATTATTTTTTTAACTTAACAATTACATCAGTGAGAACAAGACTTACATTTTTTTTCTTCATTTTTATGTTAAAATACTTTTTTAATGTATTTTTTTTAAGTCTTGTTTTTCTATTTGATTTTATTCTTTTTAAAAAATAAGCAAATTAGACTTTTACAACAAGACTTGTCCTATTCCAGATTTGTTTTTAATGGACATCTATTTATTTAATTGTTTTTTTTTTAAGTTACCCCTCATTGGGATAAAATAGCCCCTCCATAGTGTTTGTTGGGTACACGCAAAGGCATTTAATAATCGACTTGTGAAGAGAAACATTTTACTTTCTAGACTAGCCAATATATTATCTCCTCCCTTATACATAACACTTTTTCAATTAAATTATTAAGTTTATTATAGTTCTCATTTAACTTAATATTTGGTAGATTCATTTATTTAGACTTCAATTTGACACCAACAAAATTCAATAATATATGAGACAGAACTAGATTAATTCAATTTTTTAATTATAATATAGTAGTCAAACATTATGTAAAGTTAAATTAATAAACTAAAAATTTTTTTTTTTTAATTTTATGATTCAACATTTGATTTAATACTTTTTTCTTCTTTTTTCACACATCTTTTTCCCTCTTTTTTTTTTAAAATTTATTTATTAGATTTTACATGCATTCACTTATTTTTTTTTCTCTACTTTTTATTTATTTTAGTAGGTAACTTTAATTCTTTTGTTTTTTCATTACTCTCTTCCCCCTCCTCTTTTAATTTTCACACTATTATCCTTTCCCTCCTAACTTTTAGTTTTCGTATCCACTCGGTATGTAGAATTAGTTTTCAACAATATTATAAGTGCACGTGGTTTCCTTAACAGGGTTGAAAGTACTGAGCTAAATGTACGTTTTTTCTTCAAACACTTCCCCCATTTAAATGTTTAGAAAACACAACATCAAATAATTTTAGTGTTAAAGAAAATATTTTTCAAAATAGTAAAATTAGTGTTCCTGAAATTTTTTTTTGGAATTGTGTTTTTAACATACTTCCAAAAAATTATTTTTGAAATAGAAAACTTAATGTTTCAGAAAATACTTTTTGAAATAATAAAATTAATTTTTCAGAAAGTACTTTCCAAAAGTGTGTTATTTTACAGAATTCTAGAAAGTACTTTTCAAAACACTAAATTTACTATTCTAGAAAATGCTTTCCGAAAGTGTTTTATTTTACATAATTTTAAAATATACTTTTCGGAACACTAAATTTACTACTATGGAAAGTGTTTTTTGAAAGTATGTTATTTTATATAATTTTGGAAAGTACTTTTTATTATTCTAGAAAATACTTTTTAAAAGTGTGTTATATTTCACATAATTCTAAAAAGTTCTGTCCAAAATAATAAATTTAAAGTTTGTAAAAGTTCTTTTTGGATGTGTGTTATTTTACATATTTCTAGAAAGTACCATGAACCAATTTTTAAATATCAAAGTTTTTTGGACCGGATCAGTACTTTTTGGTCCACAGTTCCATTTTTTGTTGAGTAGGTTCAAACTGCAGGCCCGTAGAGGCTAATTTGTTTATTGGGCTTTTATTAGCAGCACAAACCCAAAATCATCTCTCCTTCTAGGCCCACATAGTGCAGCGTAGAGGAAACGAAGAACTGTCCCAAGCCGTTAAGTCGCAACTAGCAGCGCAAGCAATGCGACTGGTAGGTAGTCCCGCTGCAGCATCGTCGTTTATCCTTTTTTATAATTGAAAATAAGGATATGTATAAGCTCGCTTCGTGATCTACAATTGAATCTGTTGCAGAATGTACATGTTCAGTTTTTGATGATGGTAAACAAAATTTCTATCTCATTTCCGTTATTTTGTTTTCGCTCTCTACACGAATATATTTGCGCTTTATGCAGATTCTCGATTTTCTTCGTCTGGTATTTTTTTTTTTAATTTCTATTATTCTCGTAAGATTAGGCGTGAAAGCAAATTGTGGAGAAGGTGCCGTAGGGGTTTTGATTTTGTTTACTGAAATTCCCGGCGTGAAAATCCATTTGATTCTAGAAATTTGAATTAAGCTATAATTGTTGTTCTTGTTGTTGTCGTCAGTAAATATAAGCTTCTTTTAAACTTGCAAATACTAATATGTTTATAATTTTGCTTTGTTTTATTTTTTGGTAGGTTACAGTTGATTGTCGTTTAATTGTGGCTTATGTATATTTTGCACTGTTTTGGAGATGAAGGAAAAGAAGAATACTGCGTCTACTCTCAAGCGCATTTTAGTGAATTGTGCATCTCAGGTTTGATTTTATTTTTCTTAAGAAATGTGCTTTTGGTGTTTTGGGCTACATATTGTGTGTAGTTTATAACCTTTTCATTACATCATTTTGGTGCTGTGAATCATATACAGAATAATTTATATAACTTGTTTGTACCTTCAAGTAGAGTTCATTTTATTGTTTTCGCTTGCGAGAAGTATTGAGTTTAATTTGTTTAGTTAGGTAGATGCTTTAAAATTGTAATTATGATTGAGGTGTCAGGTTGTTGGGAAGGAGAAGGAATGGGTTGTATAATTGGTGCTTGCCTTTTCTCTTATGTTCTCTCTCTTTTATCCTTACTATTGTCTGATTGTTGGACATAAACACTGATTTGGTTAAGACCTCATTTAATAGGGAAAAGCATACGGGAGCTGTGTTGCAGCAAAGGTTCCAGACATTGAACGTGATATGTGTGTGAAGGAATTTCTGGTGCTAAAAAGTTGTATGCAGAATATGGTATTGTATTCTACTATTGGCTCGGAATAACATTTTCACCTTTACTCTGGCTTGGCATTTCAGCTATAAAGTTCTTTCTTACATTTTAAGTAAAAGAAATACCTTTTATGTTTTTCTCTCTAAGCAATATTCTGGGAAAGATTGAACAGAAACCTTTTTGCACACTTCACTTAGGGCCTGCTAGTTTGAGTTATATTATGATAATAGTGCTTATGTAATAAAAAAATATGCATTAAAAATTATTATAATTTTGTAAGTTTCTGGGAAAAATGAAAAAGAAAAAACCTCAAAAAGAAAATGTTTCAGTAGTTTTTTGGGAGTTAAGAATAGTAGCTTCTGCAAAAATGATCTAAAATGAAGCTGTATCAGTTGATCACTTTTTATTTTTATTTTTATTTTTAACTTGAACAATCATACCTTTAATTGGATCATGAATTTTGAGAGTTAAAGACTGTTTCTGATTATAATTTTTTTTTTCTTTTTGCTGTCAGTTGGTAAAAATATTGTGTTTCTACTGTACAATTGTTACCCTTCTTTTGACATTTCTAATAAATATCTCATGTTTCAAAATATTACTCCAAACAGCTCAAAAAGGTTTAAGTGAACACTCACTTGTTTCCTTGTTCTGGGGGCTGCTGAAAAAGTAAGCTAGAAAGGTTGATGTTTATGAATAGAAGTTTCCAATCAAAAGTCTTAAGAGGAAGGTGCTACAACTTTTTGCTGGCAAAGGTTTAACCTTGGGCACTTAAATCTCCAATTAATCATAAATGCATTACTTTTACCTTTTACTGTCTAGTTTAAATAATTTTGGGAGTTTCTCTGCAGTTGTTATTTCCATTTGCCACTCATAGTGTAAACGGGACTTAACATGTCTGGAAAAGCATCAACTTCAAAGCCTAGTATAGGTCTGGGTGGATCTGATGGTCTTTCTCATGCTTACATTCAGTATCCACCACTTCGGTGCAATGTTCCTGGATCAAGTGGATTATTTTATGATGATGGAAATAAGTTGCTACTCTCTCCAACAGCTGACCAGGTAATATGATACACAATTATCAATCTCAGATAGCAGCATGTAGCAGCCAGCTCTGAAATGCTATAGTGGGAAGCTTCACAGTTTATACATACAATCATCATCAATCTAGGAGCCACAAGAGCATAGTAATGAAGTAAAAATATGAAAATAGGATGTTGAAATTAATAGAAAAAGAACGTAACAAATTAGATAAAAATCAGTAGAATGTGAAGTGGGAAGTTTAACAGAAGAAGAAAGAATGGAACAGAGGAAATAAAATAGTCTGGTAAAGTGTGAAAGAAAAAGTTTAACAAGAGCATAGTAACGATGATGAAGAAAAACCTAAAGAATGTTTTCTTAGGGGTATAAATGGGTTTTTGAAGTCTATATATCAAATAAAAACCACTATTTTGGTCACAATGGGCTATTGAAAACCGCTCCACTATTTGAATCCCATAGCAGGGCTGATCAACTCTGCAACTCTGCTATAGTGTGCTATTGACTACTATATGCATTGTATATTTACTGTTTTGTGAATATAATGTGTGTCTTATATGTCCATCATTTTGAATTGTTTCAAAATGTTGATTCATTTGTCTATTTTTACACTTTCTTGTTCATCACTTTATCACATTGTGTGCTTGTGTTTGTAACATTTAGGTCTTCTCATGGAAAGTTGGTCCCTTTGATCCTCTCATTGATCCAGACACTGATTCAATAAGTGAAGGCCCTATTATAGCTATTCGGTATTCTTTAGACACAAAAGTTATTGCAATCCAACGATCAAACCATGAGGTACAGTTTTGGGATAGAGAGACTGGGGGGACTTTTATCCATAAGTGCAGGCCAGAATCAGAAACTATACTTGGATTTTTTTGGACAGATTGTCAACAGTGTGATTTTGTTCTTGTTAAGACCAGGTATGGTTAGCATATTTATTTCCTCTCTGTTGATCTGATTTGCATTGTTTAATGTTTCTCTTTTTATATATCTTGATTGTTAAATTCAGAAGAGACCTGGCATATGCTAGTAATAGTGCTTCCTAGCATGAAATCTGCAGTCCTATAATAGTATGAAATCAAATTTTAGAGGATGATTAATCAATTTGGATTTTTTGTTTTTTATTAGGTTCGTTGGTAGCTATTGGATCTAGCATTTTGGCAATGTATTTGAAGTGCTGAATAGATATAAAAGAGTCTTGAGTTTTATTAGTCTTATTGAGTTAATTATCTATTCTTGGACATCCATTTAAGAACATCATTTATTTCATGATTTAGTTGTCCTGCCCTTTAATCTAAACTTTAATACTACATGAAACTCTCATCAGAAAAATGAAATCTCTGGTATTCTTGTAATTGTGGTAGAGAGTGGTCCTGCAATTCTGGAAATGAGAGCCTGTCTGACTGCTTTTAATGATTGGAAGCTTGTTCTTATTTCCTGTTTTGATACATTTCTTTTTTCTTACCATCTTACAATAAGCAGGATTTTTTTTTTGCTTAAAATGCTGTTATGTTGCTTTTGTTTTCATGAAAATAAACTAAACTGAATAAGACAGTCCCCATATCCCCACTCTCCACTAACAAAGAATAATTGAAAACTAAAAGCCACATTTTGGAGGGAGTGGAGGCTGGAGAAGGGCACTGCAATTATGCAATCTTCTATAAATATATAGAGGAAATCAAAGAAAATATTTTTCTTCCCTCAGGAAAAAAACTTAAATAGAATATAAAATTATATATCTTGTGATGGAAACTTTTTCTCCTTTATAATTATATGAAACCATGACAATATTTGATTACGAGGCATAGTTCTTAATGTAATGGCTGTTTGACAATTGTTCATCATGAATTTCTCTTTTATCAGTGCCAGAGGTCTTATTGTTTTTTGATCATCACTGTGATTTAAACATTCAAGTAATTAACATTGACCAGCTGTTGCATTTTCCTAATTTTCTTCCCATATTAATATCTGTGGTACTTGCTTCTCTCTTATTTTCCTCCCGTCACATTTTTTTTATTCTTTGGATTGTCTTGGGTGAAATTTTTATTTTTTTGGGGGGAAGAGGTTTGTTAGTGTAAGGAAAAGAGCAGGTTCCAAAACTAATATCCTCAGATTACAACTGAAGAAAGAAAACATTGGAAAAATTAACTAAAAACCTTTTATTAAAACAATAAAGTCTTGCACTTACTTCAAATGTATGTCAAAACAACCTGCTAAAATGGTTTGCTGAGCAACATAAAAATGCTAAAAAAAGCAGCTTTATCCCATCAGAGTTGTGAAGGCATGAATTTCTTCAAAAGAATCCACACATAATGCTCTAATATAGTACATTAAACTGTTGTAAACAAGGCACTACTCCCCAAGTATTTGTTAGGATCTAGTTGCAAGGTATGGAAGTTGAGTCTCACATTGGAAGTGTGGGGTTCTTATGTGATATTTATATGTCCTTGGGATCTTCAACTACAACAGCTAGCTTTTGTATTGTGGACCTCCCAACATATCTATCAATTGGTTTAGAGTTTTTTTTACCATTTCTCTTGGTTGCAAACAAGCAGCGTGGGTTGGTGATGCTGGTATTGTAGTGTTCACTTGAGACTAGTCAAATCAAAGGGATGGTGTACTGCCAGCCCATGTGGACACTAAGGCTACTAAGTGCAGTAAGATGTTAGGATTCACTTTTTAGGCATGTGACTTGAGTCCCACATTAGAATTATGAGATTTTAGTGGGGGAATTTATCAGTCTTGTCTGTGATGTGATTTTCCCGAGGCTCTTATCAATATTTCAATTTTTCCCTTGCCCCCCTCTTTTTTTTTTTTTTAAGATAAGGATATACTAAATTGCAAAGTTCCTCAACAGTGGTCTAGACTTGTTGGCATATAATTCAGAGTCAAAATCACTGCAACTGATGCAAACGAAGAAACTGAATGTGAGTTGGTTTGTTTACACCCATGAAAGTCGCTTGGTTCTTCTTGCTTCTGGCATGCAGTGCAAGACATTCCATGGATTTCAGGTGAGAGTTTGTATGGCTTGCTTCTTTTTCTTGTAATTTTTATATTTACCTTGAAGAACAGTAATTTGTTTTTGTTTCAAAATAAGGTCAGATATCATTATTGTTCAGAAAATAATGACATGTATCAATGCAGCTTAATAGTGCTTGTAGAATATCAACTGATATTGCTCCTGTGCCTTTCATTTGGCTGATACAGCAATGCCTTTCTGGTTAGATTTCATCTGCAGATATTGTTCGCTTGCCAAGGTTTGAGATGGTTATGGCCAAATCTGAGGCAAATAGTAAGCCTGTTTTAGCAGCTGAAGACGTCTTTATTGTCACTGTGTATGTATCAGTTATTTACTTCATCAAACTTAGACCTTCATAATTAACATAGCTTCCTATTGAAAGGTTAATTTTTTTAAAATCAATCACAGTTATGGTAGGATATACTGCTTGCAAGTTGATAGAGTTGCTATGCTGCTCCATTCTTATAGGCTTTATCGTGATGCAGTGATACAGCAGGTTCGTTTTGCACAAATTCTGAATTACTGTTTTAATTCACTGTACAAAGTTTCTGCAAAATTGTAGGAACAATGATTAACAGTGGCTAGGGTTAGATTCCTCTCTATTTTCCTCTTAACTAATTAAATTCAGATCTGAATCCAAGTAATTATCAACCATTTGAAGATCAAGTTTTCTACTTTAGGCTAAATTCAATTCCCTGACATTAACCCTGATTCTTTTGCCAAAAACTGTTTGTGTTGGCCAAAAACCATAATTCTTTAGGTTTTCCCGACCAAAGCTAGCATTAAACATTAGTTTATATGATCTCATAGTTTATAAAGTCATATTCTTAGGTTCTCAACAAAAACAAATATGGTGAAATTCCCCAAGATCCAACTCCATAATCATTTTTCTGATTGAAAGATTGGATTTAATTTTAAATTCTGGGTGGGTAATCCAAGTTTAGCATTAAGTAAAAATAAATCACTCAGTTGGATGATAAAAATGAAAATTGAGATGAAACAAATCAAATCACATGAGAATTGAATAAATGTCCTCTTTCCTTAATCTAGGGATTTAGTGATACATGTAAAAATAACAAGAAACTGAGAGAAAATATGAGAAAGATTTAATCTTCATTGGCAATTTGATGATATAGATTCTTAATTCCTCATGTTGATGCCCACAAACCCTAACTAGAGAGAGCGTTTTGTAAGTTACAAAATGTTTAAAAGCAATTTGTAAATTAGGAACATTAAAAGTTCTGTCTTCTAAATTAGGAACAACTATTTATACCAGTACAGATGAGCTCAGTGCATTTAAAAGCAATTTTGGATGTTTAAATGCACACAGCTCAGTAGTTACATTTAATCAGCATGGTTGCAGATGTTCAAATGCACTTCTAGGAGTGTGTTTGTTTCATGAATTTAAAACATATTTGCGGGAATCTGAACATGGAAATGGAAATGTAGTATTCCCATGTTAGGAGTTTTAAAAAAAATATCCCTGGGTATTGATCATTCCTACTGGGAAAGTAGTAGCACTATTATTTGCTTCATTTTTATTCCCACGATGAAGAATAGTTTCATTACCATCAGAATATGGGAAGTTTTTTTTTTTTTTTTTAACCCCATTATAACTTCCATTTTAACTTATTTTTATTTAAATTATTTCAAAATTTTAAAAATATTCCTAGAAATGTTAAAAAATTTATAAAGTGCAAGTATTCATTCTTCAATCCCGGTGAAAATCTTTTCAATTCATCCCCATTTAGCCTTTCCAAGTGGTTGTACAATCAAGATAAAAAAAAATGATTGAATTTTCAAAGATTTTAGGGAGGAAGGTTCACCAAACTTCCACAAATATATCACAGTATATGCTATAGACATAGCACATTGACTTTCTAACAATTTCCTATGAATTACTATACAACCAATATATACTAATTTACTCTCTAATCTAAGACAATTGTAACTATATTAAACACTTGCCATATATTAATTCAGTAAAAGCATTTTAACTAGGTACACAAATAATATATGACCATCTGGGATATTTAATTTTATTCTATAGCTTGTATGATGTAGTAGTTATGTAATTCTCCATTGAACTATAGGCTTGTGAGACTGATGTTCATGGTATTTTCAGGGTTCTTTACCAATTTATTCCAACAGGATTGCTGTGAGTGTGGTCGACAATGTACTTCTTATTCATCAAGTTGAAGCAAAGGTTGTTATACTTTATGATCTCTTTGTAGATTCTCGAGCACCAATATCTGCACCACTTCCTTTATTATTAAGGGGTTTCCCCAGATCCAGTACTTTATCTCAATCTAGTGGTAAAGAAAGTGAGAGTTCAGGTGGTAATGTTTTGAGTAATCATGAAGCAGTTACATATGCCAATACATGGACTTTCCTAGTGCCTGACCTTGTATGTGATGTGGCCAATAAGTTATTGTGGAAGTTCAATTTAGATTTGGAGGTAAGTTATTTGTTCATTTATGTGTCAATACTCAATACTGAATTTAGGTGCTTTCTTTTTCATCAATAATCCTATCTTGCAGGCAATTTCTGCTAGTAGCTCAGAGGTCCCATCAGTATTAGAGTTCCTGCAGCGGCGGAAGTTGGAAGCTAACAAGGTACCTTTCTTCCCCCACTTTGTTATACCAATGTTTCTAATTGCTTGATTCTTCAGGGTGCAATAGTGCATCAGTTGCTATTTGCTATTTCTTTTTAATTTAGTCTGTAAATCAGTTTCCCACTAATTTGTTTTGTAACTGGAATTATGAACTTAAATGTGTATTGAAAACTTTATTTGTAGGAGATGCTACTTCATTCCTAGTAGTTAGCTTAGTTCATATATATGCTGATTGAGATCCTAAAATAAACTTAGTTGCCCATATTTGGCAAGTTTATCACCCTTCTCAAGGATAACCTCTTACTTCTATATGTTGCAGGCTTAAAGTCTGAGAAAGGAAAGTACCAAGTTAAAAAGTACATATCTTCTTTGCTTCTATGTAGTCTGCTGGCTATCACTAGCCAACCCTTGGCTTTCTTTGCCGTAGCCTTGTGTGTTAATCCTTTTTACACATCCTAGCTTTAGCCTAGTTAGTACAATAGAAGTTTTCCTGATGTCACTTGCCACCCTCAGTCTTACTTTGCCATAGCCTTGTTTGTTAATCATTTTTATATATTCTGGCTGACTTTAGCCTAGTTAGTACAATAAAGTTTTCCTGATATCACTTGCCACCCTCAATCATTCTTTGGCATAGCTTTATGCATTATGTTCTTTTTTATGCATCCCAGCTTTAGCAAAAATAGTGCAATAAATATATCCATTTTTTTATTATGCAGTTTTTTATTTTAAGCGGTGAGCTAGGTTTAGTGACTTGCAGTCCTTGAAATAAAGTTACCTGTAACTTCATTTAGCAGGTTTAAAAGTGGTAGAAACTTTTTCTCAAGTCATTTAGTTAGGGGCTCTTTGCACCTTAATATCCTTCATGTACAAGGAGAAAATGTGTGATTGCTATGAGAACTAGAGTGCATTGAATGGAAATTTGAAAGTGGATATGTATCATCTACCCTGGCCGAATAACTATTTTTATTTGCATTGCCTGGAAAAGTTATATTGGTTTGCTATTATGGAAGTAAGGGGTTACATAGCTGTATTCAGGATTGTGAAATATTATGTTAAACTATTTTTATGGGAACTGGGGACATCTTGTAATTTTCATGCTAAACATGAGTATTGAATTCCTTTATCCTTTAAGTATTGCACTGGAAGTTTGGAATGCAATTATGGACAAATAAAAATCTCATCTAAAATTTCCCTTAAGGAGGTGATTTATACCCTCAATCATTCTTTGGCATAGCTTTATGCATTATGTTCTTTTTTATGCATCCCAGCTTTAGCAAAAATAGTGCAATAAATATATCCATTTTTTTATTATGCAGTTTTTTATTTTAAGCGGTGAGCTAGGTTTAGTGACTTGCAGTCCTTGAAATAAAGTTACCTGTAACTTCATTTAGCAGGTTTAAAAGTGGTAGAAACTTTTTCTCAAGTCATTTAGTTAGGGGCTCTTTGCACCTTAATATCCTTCATGTACAAGGAGAAAATGTGTGATTGCTATGAGAACTAGAGTGCATTGAATGGAAATTTGAAAGTGGATATGTATCATCTACCCTGGCCGAATAACTATTTTTATTTGCATTGCCTGGAAAAGTTATATTGGTTTGCTATTATGGAAGTAAGGGGTTACATAGCTGTATTCAGGATTGTGAAATATTATGTTAAACTATTTTTATGGGAACTGGGGACATCTTGTAATTTTCATGCTAAACATGAGTATTGAATTCCTTTATCCTTTAAGTATTGCACTGGAAGTTTGGAATGCAATTATGGACAAATAAAAATCTCATCTAAATTTTCCCTTAAGGAGGTGATTTATATTGATATTTCCTGGAATTTCTTTTTAACTAGTTTTAAATAACAGTTGTTAATAGTATTCTCATCGAGAATTGTCTGATTTGAAAGTTTGACTTAATTTTTCTGCAAAATGTCACATTGTTTCTGCTCTTTCAGGCTAAACAATTGTGCTTGGGTATAACACGTACACTTATTCTAGAGCATAGGCCTGTGCCTGTGGTTGCCAAGGCTGTAAATGTACTAGTCACCTCGTACTCTCATTCAATTAAAACTGGTAGCTATCTTAAGGGACTGAAACCAGAGAAGACATCAACTTCTGTTGTACAAAATACTGGTGCTGATGTATCTGCTATCGAAACAGATGTAATTGGAAAATCGATCTTACATGAATCTACTGAAAGAGTAGACAGTGGATCTTATAATAAAGCTTCTACTGTTTCAAGTATTGATTCTGAGGATGAGTCCCAGACTGCAAATTTAAAACTAAATTTGAAGGAAGCCCAAGTTGAGGGTAAAGTGAACAATGAAATCTCTCTGGGCACTGGAGCTCATGGTGCGTATGTTATGCAGTCATCTTTGCAATCTGGGCAAGAGGAATCCCAACTTGCTTCTGCAGCAATTTCACCAGATGAGATTTACAGCTTTGTCTTTTCTCCTGTCGATGAAGAGATGGTTGGAGACCCTTCTTACTTGGTTGCTATCATTATTGAGTTCCTTCACAGGTATGCTATTACTCTGTTAGTTATGAAGTTGTTTTGACTCCCAGGGAATTTGATAGATCTGCTCTAGTTTCTAATGGATTTTAGTTTGGTCCATGTCCATGTCATTTTATGGAGGTGAATTATATGATTTTCACCTATTTAAAAACACTGTTGAAAGCTTTAACCACAACTGATAACATTTTCTTACTAATAGTGTGTACTGTGTAGACTATCAAGTTTTCGTCACAATGTATCTAGTTTAGAATATGATCGATCAATTCTTAGAGTTACAATATATTTATAATGCTGTCACGCAGCCTTCTATTTGACAGCTGTGTGACTAACTCAATCTCATGTAACTACTTTTGTAACTACCGAGAGTCAGTTGACTAACTGCACTCTTATACAATACTTACAATCAGGATTTTGTATGTCATGTTGACTTTTTATTTTTTTATTACATTTTGTTTCTAAAAATTGTGAAACTACTATTTAGTATTTGACTAGATGATCACCTAAATGAGTGTTGTGGAGTATTTATCAACCAAAATATATAATGAAAAATGTACATGTGTAATAGCTTACCTTCTATGTATCCAACTTTTCCATAGATTATTATTCAGTTGTCGCACAAAATACATCCTTTCAATTTCTAATCCTGCTAATAATAGAGATATGTCAAACTAGAATAATTGTTGTGAGAACAAAAAGCATTACATCTTATTTCAAAACCTCAATATCACTCACAATGCATATCATAATTTGCAAGTATAAAAGGTGACTCAACCGAAATCAGATAAATAATTATCCTAAGCCAACCATGGACTTGATTAAGAATATTGTTTAAACATATATTTGTTCAGTTGTACCAATACGGAAATTCATGGGTTTTGTGCTATTTTTTCATTATTTGTTAAAGAAATTTACCTCCACATTTTTGAATCAGTGCCCCCTCAACTCTCTTTATTAATTGTTACAGTGCAAATTCAGAAAAGATTCGTGTACTCCCAAATGTATATGTATTAATAATTCAACTTCTGGCCCGCAACGAACGTTATGCAGAACTCGGGTTGTTTGTCTTAAACAAGGTTAGAAATTTTTCTGTATAAATGTAAAGGTGGGATGCCTTTGCATATTGAATTGTGATTAATTTGGTTCTGGGACCTGTCTCTTTTTGTTGCAGATTCTGGAGCCCTCTAAGGAAGTTGCACTGCAACTCCTAGAGTCTGGTCGTCAGGATGCTCAAACTAGGAAGCTTGGTCTGGATATGTTAAGACAGCTGGGTTTGCATCATGATTATGTTTTACTGCTCGTACAGGATGGATACTACCTTGAAGCCTTACGATATGCACGGAAATACAAGGTATTTTCTACTGTGCTGGCTCCTGGTATAGGAAGTTATTACGTATTGTTTTAAATAATTAACAGAGCAGGGAGATGATGGAAAACTGAGAGCTCTGGTGCTGCACTTTTCTCATGTGTAGGCATTTTTCTGTAGAAATTTCATTCATACAGTTATCTGTATGATGATTTTTATTCCCAGCATCCGGAGAAAGCTAGTCCTTTGCTGAAAATAGAGTATCCAGTGTTTTTAAATACAAAACCTAATTATTCTCCTTCATTAATGGTAGAGTTTAGGTGCCTCTAGATTCCCCTTGACAGATAGAAATCTTATACATTTCACTCAAGTGCTTCACCCTGAGAAGACAAACATAATAGTAGGTGAAGGATGCCACCTTTAAAGGGAGCCTAACTCCCTGTGCAATAAAAAACTACACTCACTGTATTGGTAGGTTTTTATGGAGAGGAAACCATAAAAGTGTTTTTCTTACAAAACTAGTTTATAAGGTGAGGATTGTTCCTCACTTATATACACTATATTGACCATCTCACTACTCGATGTGGGATATCCAATAGTTCCCTTGTGAGAAGTGGATTGAGGAAGCCTCAGGCTCTCTAATAAATAACCAACAAGGCCACGTTCTCTCCATTGACCTGATCTTGCTAGCTATCAAATGCCCTTTTGTCCATCGCCCCACACAACCTAAGATGTTTGACCCCCACTCTTGACTTTTCACTATCAAGTATCAACCTGCTGTAGCTGCCTCTGTGCAGCCCTTAACCCGGCAACCAGGAAGCTTGCACTGCCGAGCAACACAGCATGATTGCCACTGCCAGTCTGAAGGATGATCACATATTAATTGCATGTCAGGATACTCTTGATCAGAGAGCAAAGTGCCCAGGGAATTCCAGCCAGACCTCATATATGAACCTCATCCTGGGCTGTGAAGAAAACATCACCTTCAGACCACCTAGCTTTAAAACCCCACTTACTCCTTATAGAACAATCCTCTGAAACCTAAACCATCATTTTCCGATAATCTAACCAACATTCTTGCAAGTTCAGAAGTAATATATGGAGACTCTTGTTGCTTTGTCAGAGTACTCCATTAAGAGATAGAAATATATTTTGACTAATGAGTGTCCATAATCGAAGGCTTCCTCATATTTCCTTCCCAAGTACCAAGGCCTGAAATTCTTTCCTAGTTCTGCAAATGATCACATGTGCAAGTCTCCCCACACCTCAGTCATGTAAAAGTGACCCATCCCAGCATAATAGTCTAGCAAATGCCTGCATGGCTACATTTTACTATGCCAAGTCATTTATCTAGTTGAAGGGATTGAACCGCATCACTTTCTCTGTGATGGATTATATTTCTATATGATGGTTATCACTTACAGCTACTTTGTTATTCACTGCATTGAAACATCGCTGAGTTACTATTTATGATTATAAACTAAGTGTTGAAGTTGTTGGAATTGTTAGGGAGATTTTAGTGGTGATAGATTCTCTGGAAATTAATAACGTAGTCATTTTGATCTGAGAACTTTCAGAAATAAAAGACAATGTAATTTTCAAGTTATTGATATATCTTGCAACTATCGTGTATTGATATTTGAACTAAATGGTTAGTTTGGGATTCCATCTGATGTGCAAAATTATCAAAAACTACTTTGAGTAGTTGTACTGTTGAGATGAGTGTACTGGGAAACAAGTATTGCTAGATTTGTGTTTATGATTTTGTTTGAATTTCAAAAGTTAAAAGCTAACTAGATTGAAGAATTACTTTCAGGTGGATACCATCCGGTCATCATTGTTCTTGGAAGCAGCATTTGTGTCCAATGACTCCCAACATCTTGCTGCGGTTTTAAGATTCTTTACAGATTTCCTTCCTGGCTTCAAAAACACCTCAGAGCATAATAGATACTGCCGCATACTGAATGAAATGAACTCATCCATGACTGTTTGAGAAGACAAAAAAAAAAAAAAAAAAAGGAAAATTGAGTCATTATCATTGGCTATCCTTGATCACCGTGGGATTATCTGGTTATGAAGTCCGATTTCTATTAGATACGTAATAGATTTGGCAATAGTTTCATGTTGTATGTTAAATAAATGTCTTTTCCTAGTTAGATTAGTTTTAGTAGATACTGTGATCTAAATGAAATTCTTCCGCAATGAAATTTACTTTGGTTAAGTTTTGCGGGTGTATTGCACGGCTGTTTAATACATTAATTTTTGGAGGGAATAAAATGGAATTTAGCTTGGTAAAGATCCTAAAATTTCAAAATGGAATTGAATATCATTAAAATGCGAGTAATTTCATATATTTAAGTTATGTTTCTTTTTTTGTTGAGCACACCCTTATTAGACTTGACCCAATATTTTTAGTTTTGTGATTTTGTTTTGGTTTCCGTAATTAGCCCAAACCTTTAAATACCTCTTGTAAGTTAGGATTAGGGTATGGAATTTCATATTTTGTGTTTTACATGAGATCGAAGATAAAGTGCTTCTCCTTCTCGATTCTTGTTCCCCGTCGGATGTTATTTCTCTCTTTTTGTTTTTTCCATAACGATGTGAGTAAACTTTTTTTTTCTTTCCAGGCAGTCTTTGATGGGGTAATGGATGCTTAATTGATTTGTCTTTCTCCGGCTGAGTTCTGTTTTTATTTATTTATTTATCTATTTATTGATTTTATGTATGTAAAGTGTTGGTCACGTTTTTGATAATCATTGGAATTATAGATAAATGACTCAAGTTTTAAACCATGAAAGTGTACTTAATCATTTGAAGAGCAATGAATAAATAATAAATGAGTTTAACTCAACGTAACTATGATGAAAATAAGATATTTAATTAGATACATCTTGTATTTTAATAAAAGGGAATGGGGATTATTATAGGTTACTCACCTACAAAAAAGAGAGCAATTGGGCAAAGAAATAAATTCAACATTTTTTATACATAAGACTTAAGTTTGACATCTCGGAAAAAAAAAAAAAAAGAGTTTGGTATCACTCATACCATCAATTATAAGTTTAACATATAGTTCTTGAGAATGAATATTTTATTACTTAATAATATGCACATAAAAAAAAGTAAAGAATACAACAAATAAAATATGTTAGACACGTCAATTTTGGAAATAAACATAGTAATTGCATAAAATTATTATTTGATTTTATGTGTATTTTCAAACACATGTTAAGAAAAATATTTTTTTTAAAAAATCAATTATATTTTAAAAAATACACTTATTTTTTAAAATAATTAAAAACATGTCAATTTTAAAAAGGGATATCTCATTTTTGTGTACACAATTTTTTGACTATTTTATCCTTAAATTTTTAAATAATAAAAAATAATATTAAAAATTAACTAAACCTAAAACTTAACCCAAGATCTTGAAGTTTAAAGGCTAAGTGTAACATCAGTTGATTTAATAAGCATTAATAATTTTTAGATGTCCTTAAATAAATATAGATATACAAAGTATCCCGAGATCTTGAAGTATCTTTACAACTTGGAAAGTAAAAAACTAATATGACATCTAGATAAAAGTTGATTCAATAAGATGTTATTATTTCCTAATAATTTCGAGTTTAAATATATATTTAATCTTATGATTTTCCCTTTTTTAATTTTATTTATTTATTTATATAGATCAATACAATAGGTAACTAACTTTCCCAACCCAGATAGAAAAGAAATTAATATGACAGCTAGATAAAAACTAATTCAATACGGTGGTTATTATTCCCTAACAATTTTAGGCGCATAAGCACACACACACACGTATATATATAAGAGAAGAGATTTGTTTATTTCAATAATAAGCCTACCTATACTTACTTTGTGCAATATAAAATGTTTTTATGATTATTCATCAATTTAAATTAATGAAATAAAGTTTCAAATGATTTTTAAATTTTTTAAAAATTTGTAAACTTTATCTTTGCATTAAGAACTTTAAATTTAACTGTTGGATTGTTGGGATTTAATATAAAGCGTGAGTTATTGAACGAAGTAAGTTTAGCTAGACTTATTCTTGAAGTAAATAGATCCATCTCTCTCTCTCTCTCTCTCTCTCTCTCTATATATATATATATATATATATATATTTGATCCTATTATTTGCCCAAATTTTTTTTATTCTTTTATTCTTTTAAATTTGTCCCTAAAATATTTTTTATATACATTTGAGGGGTATAATTTTAAGGATAATGCACGTATGTGTCGAGTAATAAGTTCTTTATCCTTCTAAATTTATATTTTGAATCTCTTGTTCCTAATTTCTCATTTGTTGTGAATTTTTGTCTTATATTTGTTAATTTATTTCTAATATCTTGATATTTTTCAGTTTACTTTTCATTCTTAATAAGTGTTTTCTTTTTCATATAATATTCATGTTTTAATTTTTATATATATAATTTTTTATTTTAAAATAAACGAGTTCCAATGTTCTAAGTTTGCTACTACTCCATGTGGTTAATGATTGCTAGCATGGTTAACAAATGCTATATCATTAAGTATTATGTTAGAAAAATGCCATTTAAATATAATTTATAGAAACTAATAATAAAAGAAATATAATTTAAAAAAAAATAACATATTTGTAAGAACAATATATTTAACTTAAATAAAAATATTAATATATAAAATAAGTGATTAACTGTAATGATCTAACAGATCATTGCACTTAATATAGTTTAACCATTACGTAATGAAAATAAAAGACAACAATCAACTACTCTAAAGTTCTCATGTAACAATTAGTCATTCATGCAATTTATACATGTATAGGACAAAAAACAAAATACTAAAAATATAAAATTCCCTTATGGGATTATATACACACCCTATACACATATAATCTACATAAACTAAATAATTATACACACTCAAATTGTTGGTCAAATATCTATACGAATATTAAGCTCCATCTGATAAACAAGTTAGTCTGCTAATCATGTCCCATTCTCATATAAAGTATTCTCACATAAAGTATGATCATTATTATTCTAACTACAAAGAAAATAAAGGAGTAAGCTTGTGAAGAATCAACATAGCATTTACTACAGCAACTTACAACAATATACATAAACAACTTAATCAACATTTAATGCAGACCAACGTATCAACTTTCAACTTGTTAATAACATTATCATATCATCGTGTTAGCAACTTACAACACAAACCACTATATCATCATAAACATCTTTAAATAATTAATTTGTCATCACATATTCACTACAAACATCTCTTATAATGGAGGTTAATAGTCTAAGTGGTTAGATTCTATCGAACCACAATGTCTGATCTATCACAACTAGGACAAGTATAGACAAAGTTAGGCCTTATAGGGTGTCAGGTATACAACTTAAATTGATTTCTTAGTCTTCTCCACTTAAAATATGAAGTCTATTATTTCTATCAAGATAGAATAAATTGGACATTAGTCTACCACGACATTAATTTGCAACACTAAGCCTCATATGGGATTAACCCATTAACTATCATTCAAATATTACGTTCTTTCCGTACTCAGTTAGGGACTAAGTCTCAACCTTGTATCTTACTTGATTGATCACTTAAACTACAATATGGATCTACCACACACCTTCACATTGTTCCACATAAATCTTGGAGTGAATAACTTAAACAACATAATTTTTCTCTAGTTTTACAACTTAACACAACTTACCAACTTGATTCAACTATAACAATATACAGTTTTGCAACTCAATCATCACCTATCAACTTACAACTTGGCAACATAAACATCATTATACATTATATCAACTTAAAGCATAATGAGTTATCATCATTCAACATTCATTATATCATTTAATCATCATTCTTCAACTATTAATCAACTTAAAATATCATATTTTATCATACAACTCATGCTCAACACCATTCCTAGCACGCCTGACGTTATTGAGACAAGGGATTCATTTCCTATCTCACCCATGCCCGACGCCAGTACACCCGCATCCCACATGGATGAGACAAAGAATCTTTGAGTCTTTCACACTTGGTGTGACAAAACTCTATGTTCGACCTCAATCAAGCATAAAGTTTTTGTTTAACTCATGTTTAACGTCACTTCATTTATGCTTCATGCCAACTTATACAAAAATGATTCTCTCTCCTCACGCACAATGCTATTCAAACTCATGTCTTGTGTGACCAAGTTAGAGGCAATTATATTTTCTCGCACTTGTTGCCACCAATCTTGCACCCGACATCATCAAAGTTGAGAACCCTTGACTTAAGCCACACTTGACGTCATTAAGGTGCACCCATGAGTTCTACACTTGGCAAAAGCTCATTTTGGTTCATTCCACCTAAAATTTAACAAATACCAACATGTAACAGGGAATACAACACACATGAAACATGTAGAACTCGAAAACAACTCCAAAAGCAACATGCAACCAAAGATTTACAAGAATCATCAATCCATTTTACAACCACCTCCAAGAAACCAAAAGCACAAGAAACCATAATCTCATGGAATTCAATTCAAAACAAACATCCTTGATGAATATCAACAACAAATAGCCATCATAATCCAACAATAATCATAGTTAAAACTTTTCGTACCTCTAGCCAGTCAACCAAAAAGAGGAGAAGGAGAATGAAGAAATCCGCATGACTTTGCCTTCGAGTTTCTACTTCGAGAGCTTGGATCTCCAACTATAACCTTATATCAACTATAGGAAAGGGAGAAAGAAAGATTTTTGGCATAAAGAAGGGAGAAAAAGGTTATAAAACTTTTCTCTAACTTCTCTCTAGTTTTTCATAAAACATGAATTTATGAGATTCCTTAAAAAAAAATCTTATATAGCCTTTCTTTATCTGAACCAACTTAACTATGTCTAAGACTACCTCAAAAATAACTTAACTCTCAAATATCCCTGACCCTAGAGCTCTAAAGCAACAACATAATCAACAAAGTAAAAATTAAATTAGATATCACATATAATTAAATTAAACAT